CTGCTGAACGCCAGCCCTGCAGAATCACATTCCTCCATGAAGGCCATGGACACAGGGAGTGGAAAAAGGTGAAATCCAGGTAGACCAATAAAAACACATAGCTTAATAACCCACAGAAGCATTTGAGCAGTGTTTTATAATTTTTATTAAGTCCTTTCACAAATATTGCTTGAGTTATTAAAACTATTTCCTGGAAAACATAGGATTGAATGCTCTCAATTCATTTCAATTAAATGCATTCATAATATGCAAATAGTTGCTACAGGTGAATAATGGAGTAAGAAAGGATTCCTACTTACTTTAGGGATCTTACATTGTTCTAGAGGTTTAGACAATATACCATTGATTGTTCCTTTTCTAGATTTTTGTTGTTGTTGTCATATGATAGCTAAACAGTATATGAATGCTTCTTTAATGTTTGTTATAATTAGTAAATTGTGGGACTTGGATTAGAACTCAGATCACTGTCCTTCAAAGTCACTCTCTTTCCTATCAGTTATACACCTGTATACACTGCCAAGTCCAGGTGTAACTGAACAGGACCCTTTGGGGCCTTCCCAGGACCAGACCCCCACCGCATGTCCTCTGCCTGCCTCTTGTTTGTAAAAAGGCTTTAGTCTCCTAGAACTTCCCTGAGTTCCAAAGACAGATTCAAACAGTTACTAACTAGGGAAGTGAGGGAATGCAGAGGAAGAAAAATCAAGTCCAACATAATCTTATCCATGACTGTTAGTTTAAACTAATACCTTGATTTATGACCCCAAACTGTCCTGTGGCTTTAACCAGCTGGCTCCAAGCGGGCTTAAAATTGATGACCCTGGGAGGGTCAATTAAGAATTGAAACTCCTGAACCATCACGAAGGCTCTAAGAAATAATAAAATGCCTCAACCATCGCTGTTGCTTTCTCCTAGAAAGAAGTTAAGGGATCACAAGACCACCATTGACTAATCTGCTTTGCAGGAACACATAGATCAATCACAATCACCAAGTCACAAGATGGCGCCAGGATGTCTGCAACTAAGGTCTTATCAGGAAGCGAAAATCACAAAGGTCCCCTCCCCTTTACTTTTTTGCCTTTCAGAACCTTGTACCCCGGCCAGCCAGGAAGATAAATTTGAGAAAAGTCCCATCTTCCACACTGGCGCCTCCTCAACTAATAAACCTTTCTCTGATCCAAACTCTGACATTTTTTTTTTTTGGCTTCACAGTGTGTCAGGCACACAAACTTAGGTTCGAAAACACTGTTTTTGAGTCTTCACTTGAAACACCACCGTGATCGGCCGCGTATTCCTTTCCAACTCGTGGACCGTGCACCTTCAGCCATCCCCTCACTCTCCCAGCTTCAGCTTCTCCATCTTCGCGCGTTTCTCCTTCTTCCCAGTGTAAGAACTTAGTTGCTTTCACCCTTAGCTTTTTTCCCACCCCGCAGCCCCGCTGTTAGAATCTACCTTCTGCCAACACCACACACCTGAAACTCTCTCAGGTAGAGAGAATCTAAAGTCTTGGCACCTGTGTCTATGCTGGAGACTTGATTTGGGAAGAAGGAGAAAGAAAGAGGATTCAAGTGTGAGAAAGGAGTCTTCTGAGCAAAAACGAATAAAGAGAAGTTATCTGAGACTAGAGTGTCCCTAGACTGGGGAGAAGATAAGAGAAGAACAGAGGACTTGTGAAGCAGAGGACACCTCTGTCCTGCTTTCTGGGGCTGTAGCTTGGAGGCAGCAAGATCTCAGGGAGAGACCAGCCGTATGGTGTCTCTTGGCAGTCATGTCCATTAGCATCTTACGGAGACTCCTATATCCCAGTTTGGTACAGAAGCAGATAAACGAGACCTAAAGAGAGATGTGAACAGGGTAGTAAGCATCCCTCAGCCAGGGGACCTGGTGGATTAGTGATGAAGAATCAGACCTCCGGGCTTCCCTGGTGGTGCAGTGGTTGAGAGTCCGCCTGCCGATGCAGGGGACGCGGGTTCATGCCCCGGTCCGGGAAGATCCCACATGCCGCGGAGCGGCTGGGCCCGTGAGCCATGGCCGCTGAGCCTGCGCGTCCGGAGCCTGTGCTCCGCAACGGGAGAGGCCACAACAGTGAGAGGCCCGCGTACTGCAAAAAAAAAAAAAAAAAAAAAAAGAATCAGACCTCCTTCTCATGCCCACCACCCAAACACCTTGACACTATGAGAGTAAAACTCTGGCACCACTTCGTGTGGGATGTAGCAGGAACTCCAAGAAGGACTGAGGTTAAATTTCCCATTAGCTCAGTTAGGACATAAACCTGAAATCGAAATTAATTTGTTCCAAAAAACAAATGGGCTGGAAAAAACAAGTGGAAGAGAGTTTGGGTCCCTTTTATAAGAATAATCCTTTAAGTGAGAATACATTCCTTCTTGGTAGGCCCAGCCTCAGCATAAGTACTAGCAGAGGAAAGACCTAGAATTAAAGGAGTTAAGTTCAGGAAGAAAGAAATTCTGAGGTTCAGAGATTTGCCTCAAGTGATGTAATAGCCAGTGATGGACTTAACTTCTAATCTGTAGTGCTGAGATCTTTCCTCTCCTTTCCATTTGTCTCCCTATTCTCATGCCATTTCCACCCCCAATCACATTTTGCCCTATGCTGAGTATGAATACAAGGTTAAAATAACTTGTCATTTTGCATTTATTACTGGTCACATTTTATTTATGTTTCTAATCTAGGACATGATTCATTTTTCCCATCAAGGAAATCAGATTTTACTTATTTTTTTATTATTACTTTTTTTAAAATTTATTTTTGGCTGCGTCGGGTCTTCATTGCTGCGTGCGGGCTTTCTCTAGTTGAGGCAAGCGGGGGCTTCTCATTGTGGTGGCTTCTCTTGTTGTGGAGCACGGCCTCTAGGCACGTGGGCTTCAGTAGTTGTGGCCTGCGGGCTCAGTAGTTGTGGTACACAGGCTTAGTTGCTCCATGGCATGTGGGATCTTCCCGGACCAGGGATTGAACCTGTGCACCCTGCATTGGCAGGTAGATTCTTAACCACTGTGCCACCAGGGAAGTTTGGAAATCATATTTTATTTTAGAACTGTATACGCAAAAAAATTTTGAGATTTGTAGAAACTCATTCTTGAATTCTCCTGGACATGATTCAGAGGCTGATTGGGGGAAGGCCTGAATCTCTGGCTGTAGGGGATTATTGTGGTTTGGCAATGAGAAGCTGGGGAAATTGGCTTCGGGAAGAGCGAGAACTTCACCTTTCTTTAGTGGAGGGAGTCAGTGAACATATTCAATTTGTCTCCAATGGAAGGTCCTTTACCTGGACCTCTTTCTTTTGAGTGCCTAGGTGGTGGGCCATGGCCTCAGCGATGGTGGTCTTGGGGACCTTGGCTATGGGGTGGTGGGTCACAGGGTCCATGGCCATAGAAATCATGGCCATGGGGATGGTGTCCATGGGGATGGTGTCTGTGAGGACGATGTGTGTGGGGATAGCACTCACCAGAACTATGATTATGAGGGGGCCCATGGGTCCCACTGGTGTCAAAATGAGGGTGATGGCATCTTGACCCTGGAGGAGACAATGGTAGAGGAACTCCTGCTCAAAACGGTGGACTGTCTGAGTAATTTTTGTCTTCTAGAGGAGGTGGGCATCTAAAGTTGTGTGACTCGTGAGGATTATGGTGATCTCTAGATCCATTGAGCTTAAATGGAGGCCTGCCAGCAGGAGAACGCTCACCAGAGTGGAGGGGATGGCCCAAATGATGCTTCACACCACTGACGTTTGTATGTTCCTGGTGAAGGACACAGAAGAGTGAATATCATCCTGTAACACAAAAGAAGTTAGATGTTTAATTTAATTTACACCAATGGTTTCCAGGCTTTTGGATTCCACAACTAATTTTAAAAATAGGAGACCCAGAAAAAAGGTTCCTCAAGTTCTTATTTAGCCAACTTGGCATTTAAAATATGAACAAAACTATCACCTACCACCATTATTATTTCACAATAGAAATAATACTTTGATAGCACGAGTCAGAAAGTTAATCTCAGAGTAAAGGATACTCCTTTAGATGGAATAAATGTTGGAAATGTTGGAATATGGAAGTTATGGAATAACTTCCCTTATTATTATTATTCTCATTTCAACATAATCTGGTGAAATTATATTATAAAATGATACTCATCTATAGATCAACCTTTGGAAAACTAGTGCTTTGTAATTTATATTCTCAAGAGTTGAGGCTTTATGGTACAAACATCTCCTACTCCTAAAGGATGAGCACTTACCTCTTTGCACTTGTGGAGCCATGTTCATGGTGACAAGCCTGCCCCCTCCATTTTGGGGGTGAGGGTTGGTACATGGACATTTGGATTATACTCAGGGTTTTTTTTTGTTTTTTTTGCTGATGTAAAAAATACTGTGAAGAATATCTTGGTATAGAACAAAACTTTGTAAAATACATAAAATATTGTTTTGAATCTTATTTCACATACCTTTATATAGTAAATTTTAGGCGAATTCATTCTTCTTAGGTTCTATGCCTAATAATAAAAGCTAGGAATTATTAAGTGTGAGCACTGGAATCCTGACTACAAGGGTCACTTTCAAATCCATTAGAGGTTGATTGAATTGATCATGATTTTACTTTTCTAGCAAATCTTACCCTCAATTCTTGGGGAAAAATTCATACTTTTTGCGTCATATCAGCAGTTGTACTTTCCCAGGGGCCTATTCTCTCTGTATTTCTCCTCCCCCCATCTCTCATCCATCATCTCTCTCTCTCTCCCTCTCCCTATTCTCTCTCTCTGTGTCTCTGTCTCTCACACACACACAATACACACCAACAGCCATAAGAACAAAATACAGTATATGTGTGAAAATATCACTTACTTTGGCACTGCTCATGATAAAGGCTACTTAAGCAACCCACCTTAAGATTGAAAACTTCACAGTTTATGACAATGTCTTTTGGGGTTTCCAAGTCAGCGTCTTCTACATCATAGGACAAACCTACTCTGCAGAATCCGAAGTTCTATAAAGAAGAGATAAACCTGTTAGTGTCTGTCTATGTGTATTTGAGTGTGTGTGTGCAGGTGGTATGAAGGTACCCAGCTCTTTTTGTGAACTTCCAGACATTTGGGAAAGGAAAACAGGCTTCTGAAAAATCAGGGTAATATTATCAAATATCTCCATCAGCTATTTAACCATTTTTCCTAATCAACACTTTGGGGAAAGTGTAGGTTCTGAAGGGTTTCACTCCAAGTTGCAGTGGTTTCCTTCCATGAGTGGTCCCCCGCGCTGGGCTTCCCCATGGGCTGTAGGAGGAACTCTGCATCACTGATACCTTGCCTTTAGCCCAACCTTCTGCCTGAAGACCTGAGTTGCCTGTGTCTAGAGAGAGTGAAGAGTGGTATAGAAGAGGAATTTACACAACCTAAACCAGGCCCTTGGAGGAAAGTGTTGGGAAGAAGGGAGCCAGTGTAAAACTGGGTTTGCACAGACCCCGTCAAAGTGACTGTCTGCTGGCCCTACCCTAGGTACCGAGGCTACAACTGGCTGGCACCGCTATGCCCCAGAGGCCCCAATACCCAGCTGTCAAGGTTAGACTAGGACAAGAAGAAAACTCTTTTTTTTAGAAGAGACTGTTAAGCATTGAGGTTCTGAGTACAGTTTTGGAGTCAAACAGACCTATGTTAATCTTGGCTTTGCCATTTACTAGTTGTGAGTTTAAGCAAGTTACATAAAATTTCTGGATTTGTCTTTGTAAAGTGAGTACAATGCTAACTATCGACACGTTGTGGGAAGGCTTAGTTAAATGAGATAATGCTGGAAAACACTTAGCACTGAGCTCCTCTTCTCCGGCTGTCATGTTTCTCTACTGGGTTTGCACTACATACACCAAGATAGGGGTTTGTTGGGGATGGGAATGGAGGAGGTGGGGTGTCTTTGCTGGTAGCTATTAAGCAGGATCCTAGAACTGCTTGAGGTTGAAAAGTTGAACAGTGAGAGAAGGAACGAATGAATGCCTCCTTTCTTTCCATCCCGGAGAATGTGTTATTAAACCTCAGAAAATGCCTGGACTTGAAATCAAAAGGCCACCATTAAAATCCTGTGTCCTAACACTTTCTAGCTAAGTGCCCTTAGGCAAGTGTTTAAACTTCTAGACCCTCTTGTTCCAGGGAAATGGAGGCAAACACTTGCTTCTCCTCAGAGGGCTTGTCACAGGGCTCCAATGAGGCAATAACATGGGTGCTTTGTAAACTGTCACCATACAAATGTTGAGTGTTATTAAGGAGATCTTCCTGCAGGTACCTGAGTATCAAAGTATAAGTGACTAGGGGAGCAATCCCATCGATTGAGCAACTGGAGGACTGGATTCTAACCTCAGCTCAGTTGTGAACATCTGGCAGGACCCTCTGTTGAGCCTCAGTTACCTCCTCCTTAGTCAAATGGGGTCACTGAGTGGAGTAAACGAGGTGAAGTGAGTGAAAGCACCCTTGGGTGTCAGTTCTTAATACAAGCAAGTTATTAGTTTTAGCTAAGTCTTTAATCCTAATGGGTAAAGAACCTGATGTTAAGGTATATAGCATATATAATTCTATAATATACATGATACTCTCGTGATTCACTTAACTTCTCTGTGCCTCAGTTTCCCCATCTGTAAATCAGGAATAAAAATAGTACCTACTTCATAGGGTGATGGTGGGTTAATAAGGTCACATATGTAAAGCACTTAGAAAGTTGCCTGGCCCATAGTAAGTGGTCTCTAAATGTTACCTAGTATTTCACAGAGGCTGATTATACTCACATGAGAGTGCCTGGGAAAGTGGTGACTGGAGCAGTTCCTCACAGAGAAGTCCAGGTAGTAATTGGTTCTTTCCCCTCCTCTCTAGAACAAGTTGAATCCAAGCAGTTTCGGGACATTAAAAGTAAAAAAGGCAGTGGATGCCTACGATCCAATATTCAGTATAGCACTATGAGGATTCAAAATCCCCAATATGTGCCATTTTTCTGATGGTCTCTGCCTTTAAAATATTTATCACATAAGTGATAAGGTGAATACTATTTCATTGAAATACATACATAAATACATACATACACACATACATAATCAAGCACAGTGTGAAAAATCACCCTTCTTGCACCCCAGCCTCCCCTTCTCAGAGGTACCATTATCATCCACTTGATGAGTTTTTCCTTCAAGCCTTTTCCTAAATATGTTGCACATATACACATATATCTAATTATTTAACATAAATAGGATCATATTCTAAGTATTGCTCTGTAACCTGTTTTTTCCATTAGCAATGTATCTTGAAACACTTTCCAGTGCATATACATCCAAAACGTTGTTTTTAGTAATTACGTTGTATTCATTCCATTGCTTGGATGCACCGTAATCTGTTTAACTTCCGCATTTTCAAAATGCACAACGGATATCAACTAGCTGCTCTACAAGACCCCTCTGGGTGGGAAGCGCTTAGGTCCCTGGACTGGGTGTGGTGAGATAGGCACTCTGAGCCTCAGTCTTCCATTGTAATAGAAGGAGGTTAGGACCCGATGATTTTAATGACTCGCATCATCTTATTATGCTCTTTCTTCTGTCCTTCCCTCTTCCTTGTTTGGGTTTTCCCTTTTCTCTGTTAGATATTCAGATACACACACCCCAACTCCAAAGACTAAAGAACTGAAGGAGGGCAGTTCTATGGTATCTGCTGCCTCTCTGCTGAGGCTGCAACAGAAGTCTCAATTTAAAAGGCAGCTGGCCAAGTGAGGCCAGCGGAGAGGGACAGTGCTGCCCCGTGTCCCCTGCATCGGCAGCGGACTCTTAAACCACTGCACCACCAGGGAAGCCCCCACTTTGCTTTTTTAGTGTATAACACCTCAAAGTATTTTTTAATGTAAATCAGCCTTATTTGGTTGTTGATTTAAGATAAAGTCTGACTAAAAATTTCTAACCACCCGCGTCTCCTGCATCGGCAGGCGGACTCTCAAGCACTGCGCCACCAGGGAAGCCCCAAGCGCTAATATTTTAATGACCTCTTCCTGTCTCCGCCAACGAGAGAGAGGCATCGTTAACAGAGAGAGGAGAAGGTACAGCTCAATCTTTCTTTAAGGCAACCTCCTGAGGGAGTTGCTTGACTGTTGAATTTTTATATGTTGAAACATGTTAAGATTAATTATTTTAAAAGAATTTCTGTGATAATTCTTTTTGAAAAAGTGAATTAAAAGAGCATGGAATTTAGAGTCAACACCGGTGGTACAGGGTCATGACTTTGCCACACTTTGGCTGTGTTCACCCGGCCAGGTCATTGAATCTCTTTGAGGCTCAGTTATTTTATCTCTAAAATAGAAAGGATCATAATCTTTACTTCATAGTCTTGTTGTGAGATTAAAGGAGATAATATATCCTTTGTATAACTGCTTTGTGAACATACATAACTTTCAGATGTTGATGGCAATACTTGAGTGCTAAGTACTTTGCAAAGTGTACTACACAGACAATTTTATTTAATTCTGAGAAGGAACCAAAGGGATAATGTTGTTATCTTCATTTTACAAAGGAGGAAAGCTTGAAGAGGTTAAGTAACTTGCCCTCAAGACCACACAACTGGTAAGTGATAAGGCTGGGATTTAAACTCAAACAAATCTGACCCCAGAGCTTATGTTCTCTACGATGATGCCATACAGCCTCTTGTAAATTTCTATTTTTATATGTTGAATTTATTTAAAAGAAGGTGTGCCAGTAATAGGAAAACCCCTCTCTCTTCTCTTCTCAGGAGAGCAAGTAATAATACGTCCACAAGGGCAGGAACCATTTCTGATATGTACTTCATAGTCTTATATGATGATACCACTGTAAGACTGAATTTTGTATTAATTAGAATTAATTAGCATTTTAACAGATGATCATACCAGAACTTGTGGTGCAGTTAAAGTCATTCACTCGAGGATTCTGAGACCCATCCAAACATGTTATAGCTATTATCTTACATGGTCTGATCACCTGCAAGAAAGAAGGGTTTATATTATTGCCTATTGCTTTCCTCAGGTTGACACGAGGGAACAAAAAAGTGAGGCAACATACTCCTACTAACCATTTGAAATTTGTCTGTGCTTTCTCTCACCAAACCTTTCTCAAAAACCTGTATTTTCTTAGCATATTTCTGTGATCTGGATGCTATAAGCATCCAAAACCCTCATGAGAACCACGGAGAAACTGTTGAAACAGATCATGGCCACACCCCAAATATTTGCAAGGGAAAAAAATGCTAAAACACCTGGGTATGTAAACATTTTATTTTCTGGAGTTGAAATCTTATATCTGTGCTCTTTCATCTTTGTGTCCTCCTCCTGTGGCAGGGAGCCTGGGCTCTGAGTACCCGCGTGCAACGTGCAGAACAAGACCTTATTCCTCATGGTGACTGCAACTAATCCCTTTGGCCATTTCTGTTAGTGGGACCAGTATTCATAGGTCACGGTTACAAGTTCATAGGTTCTTAGACGTTAGGTGATTTGCTCAAGGTCTTACAGCTGGTCATGCTATCACATGGGAGCACAAGCCCCACTGACTTTTCTTGAACTAGGTTCCAGGGTGTAGCTCTCAAGAAAATATTACTCAAGGTCAACAGTCTTCATGAGCCAAGAGGCAGAAGCTGCTCTTACTCTCTTACAGTGTTAGGCCAGGTATGCAGCCACCCTGGGCAAGCACAATAGACAGAAGTCAAGAACGCTAAGAGGAGAGGAATGGTACTGTGTTTACTTACTTACGATTTCAGATGGATGAATAGAAACAGCTGGCTCACAGTCATCCCAGTGTTTCCTGGATAGGACTGAACAGTCAGATTCTTTCACATCCAAGACTAAGTAATAGACAGCTGTGGCTCCCTGGGGAATACCAAGAAAGCAACTGGTGGGTAGCATGTGGGAGTCCAGAGCTTTTTAAAAAAAAACCCAATCTTTTTATTTCCTAAATAGAATTCCTGCTCCTCTCCAAGTCATTGCAGATGTCCTGCCTTTGCGTCATTTGATCTATTTATTTAATAAAATGCTTCAGAGAGTTACTTCCGAATGCTCTTTTTAACTGGTCACAATGTTGTTTCTGCCCTTGAACTTTCAAAAGCAATCACTAAAAAGCAGTGTTGGTTTGGATGGAGGTGTTGAAGGTACAAGCCTAGAATATAAGTGCTGACAGTCACATCATGGCCTCCAATCTGTATATGCAGTCATGTCCTCTCATCCAGCTCTATTCCTGAACTTGGATTCCTTGTCTTTTTTTAAAAATATAGATTGACTTTTTTCCCTTTTGGCTGCACCGCGTGGCTTGCAGGATCCTAGTTCCCTGACCAGGGAATCAAACCCGTGCCCCCTGCAGTGGAAGCGCAGAGTCTTAACTACTGGACCACCAGGGAAGTCTCAGATTTCTTGTCTTGATTTCAACTTGCCCAAAGCTAAATTCAGTCTCTTCTCTTACAAACCAGCTCCCTCTCTCAACTTCTTTTGTCTGGTCAGTGGCACCATTAATCATTTATTGCCTTAGTCTTTGTCTTAAAGAATGTCCTGTCCTCAAGCCTTGAATGGTCTTTCTTTGTCTCCTGTCTTTTCTTTACTCTCATTGCCCTAATTCCCACTGCCTGGGGCTGCTTCTCATGTCGTCATTCCTGAATGTGTGAATTAGCTCTTAGTTGTGTCCCTGCTCCGGCCCCTATCTTCCCAGGCACAGGGAGATCCGCCGCCCCACCCCCACACCTTCCCCACTGCCACTCAGAGGTCACACTGTGCTGATTCGTCCTACACGTGTGGCAGAGAGCCTGGAAGGGGACTACTGGTCATCAGATTGCTAGTGGAATCCTAAATCCCTCCACTCTCCTTCTCTGTAACCTTTAGGGCCTTGGTTTCTAACACTGTAACAAGTATAAATTTCTCTGCTTGTCCTCTTTGGTGCCCCATGGTCTCACCTCCCTGATTTCAGTGGTTCCACCAAAGGGTAGGTTATTTCTGGGGTGGTGGTGGAGAAGCAGGAGTCCCTCTGTAATCTCTATCAAGCCCTCAAAGGCACTCCGAATAAGCGTATAACCTAAATGAAAACAGTAGGCTTGCTTTCTTCAAGCCTACGGTCTCTCTTCCAAGGTGATGGCTGCTCCAAAGCCCACAGAGAACTACTGGAACCCCTCTGCTTTTGTTCTGCTTCTCCCTAACACCTTCCTTCCTGATTCCCTATCCACATAGAGGTGGTATGGCTGGCATTCTCCTGGAAGGCCATTACACAGGCCACCGTCCTATTCAAATCCTGCTCACCCTTCAGGACGCAAAGGAAGCCTTCTCCCATCCCATCGAAATAGTTCTTTTATGAGATCACTCCAGCATCTATACCATTCACTTGGTCACTTGAATATATCTCATCTTATGCAGTTCACATATGTGTTCATGTGAGCTGATTATTATTTCCTTGAGAGCAAGTCCCACAATTTAATCTAATCTTTCTCTTATAGTACTGAGCCTTTGACTAGGCTCTGCATAAGTGTTTACAAGTACTTACAGGCTGATTCATAGTTAAGGACATACTAGTAACAAACATTCATCTGAAGGAAAAAAGAACAGTCAGAGCAGCCCACAGATGAAACAGACAACCCTGCCCAAAGCCAATCCACTGTGCAAAGCAGCAGGCTTAGGGGCTAGAGTCTCAGTTGCCCCTGGTACATCATCTCCCCACTCAGCTCTGCCATGGGCAGCTCCACAGCATTTTGTCCAAGTGGACATCAGCGACCCACAGCAACTGGAAAAGGTAGCCATCCCACCGTCATTTATTGATCAGGTCTAGAGCTTTCCCAGCCACGGGCTCTGCAGCATCGCAGCCTGTGGGACTCACAGCACAGGAACGCTGCAGTGGGATCAGAAGGAAGAAAAACAGTGCTGCAGTGAGTAACTTCATTTTGTTAAAATGTGAAAACCATTCCTTACTCTGGGATACCACAGCAGAGAAGTTTATACAGATTTTCTAAAACACACACACATACACACACAATTGATTAAACAAAGTCTTTATCCGTTTTTGTTATGTAACTGGGTATGTTCACCTTGACTCCTGGTTCAAATATCAGTCAACACGCTGTAAATGATTAGTGGGTCCTGGGGACAGAAAGTTGAAACATGCCACCAGTGAGTGGGTGAAACTGTGATCTGCACAAATCTGGATATTACTAGTAGGTAGCAGATCCAAAGTGTGTTTTGGGCCATAAGCACTGCCTGCATTGGTATTTGAGGTGGAGTCAGAAATAATTTTCCTCCATCTGCCAGCCAGAAATCTCTGCCATCAGTCCCTTCTTTGGATTGTGGCACTGAAAGTCCTCAGTAGAATGTAGCTGCATTATTGAAGGGAGGAGACATGTTAAGTGGTTAACACCATAAAAGGAAGACAGTTCAGATAGAGAAGGATTAAGAGGCTGTCGCTTTGAAGTCAGATCTGAATTTCAACCCTGGGTCTGTTACTCTCTTACTGTGTGATGCTGGGTAAGCTATAACACTTCTCTGATCCTTAGTTTCCTCGTTTATAAAATAGGGTTTAAAAATCTCTTGGCAGGCTTGTGTGATGATTAAATAAGAAAACATGCATAAAAAGTCACCAATACAATTCTTAGCACAGATCCAGGTGTTAAATAAATAATGCTATTCTATTATTATAATTAGTGTGACTGGGAAGAAGTTAGAGGCACACTCATGTCATTCCAGTTCTTTGTGACCCTTAAAGTATATGCTAAAGAGAATTAGTTCATGTGGAAGAGGATGGTGGTGAGGGTAGAAGTCAAGCCATTCTATGCCCAACCCAGAGAAGGGATTAGAGGGACCAGACCATTGGGGGAGGGGCTCAGCACTGGGGGACAGGGCTGGGATTAAGCTGCTTCCCCCCACCCTCACTTCTCCTAAAAAGTCAGTATGGGCTTCCCTGGTGGCGCAGTGGTTGAGAGTCTGCCTGTCGATGCAGGGGACACGGGTTCGAACCCTGGTCTGGGAAGATCCCACATGCCGCGGAGCAACTGGGCCCGTGAGCCACAACTACTGAGCCCGCGCGTCTGGAGCCTGTGCTCCGCAAAGAGAGAGGCCGCGATAGTGAGAGGCCCGCGCACCGCGATGAAGAGTGGCCCCCACTTCCCACAACTAGAGAAAGCCCTCACACAGAAACAAAGACCCAACACAGCCAAAAATAAATATAAAAATAAATAAATAAATAAAATAGTTATCTATTAAAAAAAAAAAGTCAATATACCTGCAGGGATCCCTCATGCCAGCAGAGTCCAGCGACATCAGAAAGGACCAGAGAGGGCTCCCCCGGACTAGCAATAGATACCGCTATTGTTATGGATAATTCACCCACAGATAATGCAGATGGTCTTTACCATTCAAATAGAATTCCTTCTTTGATCCTGTATTGCCCAAACTGAATTTCTGTACACATTACACCCTTTTAGAGTATAATGAAAAAAAAAAAAAAAAAAAGGAAAAAGAAGAAAGGACCAGAGGGAGTCAGCCCAGCTTGCTTCTCCACTACCAGGGACTTAAACGGCATCTCCTTTCCTCCCCACTCTGCGGTGAGTCACTCGAGATGCTTTTCAGAATCCTTACTTCCAGGCCTCCCTCAGAGCAATTAAATCAGGATCTCTGGAGATGGGTCCAGGTGTTGGGAGTTTTTCCAATGTGCAGCCAAGGCTGGGGACTGGTGAGGCTCTAGACAGAACCTGAACGGAGGGGAAGAGTTTGAAGACAGAAGCGATCGGAACGGGTGTATGGAAAGCAGACCTCACTTCCCAGAGTCACAGGTTGGTTTAGCAAGTGTTAAAAGGGGAAGAAACCCATTTCGGATTATATTTGACATTGAACTTTTAATATTAGTAACACTAGCTTTTAAATATCCAAACAGGACAGCTTCAGTGTAGTTTAGAATGACAGGATTAGTATGGACTCTGGCCAAGGTGTTACTAAGCGGCTCCAAGCCAGGGTTGGAGGTGGAGAAAGCCATTAATTAGAACAAAACCGTTTCATGTTTCAATCAGTTGAGCTCCTTAATGAGGCCTTTCTATTATTGCTACACTGGTCACACCCAATATGGAGCGCCCTGAGTGAGCTAAATGCTGGTGGAGGGAAAGA